CTCCAGCTGGCAGGAGGGAGGCTCCCTGAGGCCAGGGATGCAGGCTCTAGCTGAGGGTTCGTATTTTGGAGTTTTTACTGGGCTCTGTCACTCTGCACGCCACCTGTGAAGTGTGATGACAGCAGGATTTTAGTACGGTGTAAGCATGAGCCAGATCATCCTCCACCCGTTGCTGTTGAGAGAACTGAGGCAGTGAAGGAGGAGGAATGCTTTTTTTCTGAGCATGAAGCCTGCCAGGAGAGCCAGGCTGACAACAGGAGCCTTCTCCTGCCCAAACCTCTTGTCAACACCACACGTTCAGCTCCTCGAAGCAACAGCTATCTGCCTGGGTCAGACTCCTGTTTCTCATGGATCCTGTTTCAAATGGACCCAAGAAAGCTCTGAGGAAGATTATGTGCCCGCCTTCAAATTCTGCTGCAGTTTCAGGTGTGATAGCCAAGCTCAGAGAGGAGGAACCAAAAGGAAACTGTTCATCTGCCCTGAACTGGCTTTGGAGGCTGGCAGAGACACACCGGACTCGTGTATGAGGTGCTGCTGGCAGAGCCGCATCCACACCAAGGGCTGTAGTAGGTACAGGAAGATCTCTGCCATCCAGTCCCACCTGGCTGCGAGGCATCAGCCATGAGCCATGGTCCCTGCTGTATTTCATGCAGCTGGTACGCGTGGCAAAACCCAACAACCTGCTGGTTAGCCCTCAAGGGGTAGAGCTTCAATGAGTTCTGTCCGTGGGGTCACCAGGTCCACGAGCACTGAGAGGTGTAATCCACACGTCAACCCCGCGGCAGGTAGGATATCTAAGGGCTGCTATCTTCTAGCTTGGTAAAATCTGGCTGTACTGCGGATGCTGAGCAGGCAGAGCCAGAAGAAGAGTGCCCAGTCGGCGTGCAAGGTGAACAAAGCTCCTCGAAGCCACTCAGCACCTGGTGGTGCCCTGGCATGTGAGAGGGACAGCGGTGGAGTAAGGACTCATCACTGCCCTGACTTCTCAGGGAGGAGGCAGCCACGTGCCAGACTGTTGGGGAGCAGCTGCTTATTAAAGCAAGCTTGGTGCTCACAGCCTAAACAAACAACAAGCAGACAAATTGCAAATGTACTTCTAGTTACGGAAGCTGGCATCTCCCTAAAAACTGCCCTGGGTGTCGGTCCAGCCTTTCCTCCCTGCAGCCTGGGCAGACCTGAGAGCAGGAAGGTTCTTGTTACCTTCGTTGTGCTGAAACTGTAATTTTTCTTGTGCATGAAAGTGAGCCAGCGGCAAGGAACCCACCTGTGCTTCTTCAAATCATTCTGTTCCAATCCTGGAGCTCTTGGGACAGGTGTTTTTTAGTGTTTCTCTCTCATATGCAAGTACACTGAAGCATGAGGTATGGGGAAGAAGCAAGATGAGTTGGACGTGCATGTGCAGTTGCAGGGCTGTGATCTTGTTGTGATACAGCGATTCAACTCTGGACAGCTCCATCCCACTGCACCACTCCCTCAGCCTCCCTCAAAAGGACAAAATATGATGGGGAGGAAAAAAAAGACTCATGGTTTGGGATAAGGACAGGGAGATCACTCACCAATTGCAGACATGGGCAAACCAGGCTCAGTAAACTAAAGTAATTTATGGCTTATTGGTAACAGATGAGGGCAGTGAGAACTAAAAGCAAGCTGAAATCACCAAGAGCCAACTGAGTGTTTATGGTTTAGGGTTAAAGGGAAGATGGGGATAGGTGGCAGGATAGTGGGTGTTTGCTCCAGGCCACCTGACCACATAAACCAGGCACATGGGGCCCTCTATTGACAGGTAGCAGTAGTGTCACACTTGCAAGCCCTCGTCCTCACGGGGCCGTAAACCACCCTGGCATCTGCTAGAAGGACAGCACGGCGGGGCATAAGCACTGCAGGAGGTGTCTGGAGATTGGTGCTGAACACAGACTCTTCCAAGTGACAGAGGAGCCAGCAAGAGGAGCTCTGTTCCATCTCATGCTCAACAAAGAACTTGTTGGGTATCTGGAGATCAAAGGCAGCCTTGGACTCAATGATCTGCATAGCTGCCTTCCAGCTTAGGATATTATGAGATTCTTGGATGCAGTGACCATGAGGTAGTGGAGTTCAAGATCCTAAAGGTAGGATATAGGGTATACAGTGAGCTCACAACGCCTCTTGGTGTCCAGATAGCAGGCAAGCAATGTGCTGCAGCCTCCAGGGACAGACTTCCCAGCTCATTCTGTCCCCAGGAAATCCTGGCAGGAGACTGCTGGGATGCTGGCATTTCTCCTCTGGTTTTCCCTCTTTTTCTGGGGACCGGCTCCTCCTGGAGCACCACATCTGACATCTGATGGCAACTGCAGCAGCGTGTCCATGGCCGTGCTCCGTGTCAGTGATGTGATGTTGTCCAGCTCCTCAGTTCTTTCTGTACCGGGACTCCAAGAAGTGGTGGACCTGAGCCCCCACTGGAGCACAGTTTGCTCTTCCTTAACACCATAAGCAGATGCCATTTGGTCCTCTCCATCACCGCAGACACTGTTCTGGTGGTGGCATTCAGCAGCCACTGATGTTCACAACCCCAGGCACCAGGACATGCTGGGGGCACCCAGCCGGAGAGCAGCCTGGCAGAAAAGGCCCTGGGGGTCCTGGTGGACACCAAGTTGAACACGAGTCAGCAATGTGTCCTTGCTGCAGAGAGATCAAAGTGTTCTGGGCTGCATTAAGGCCAAGTGTTGGCTGAAGGTCGAGGAAGGTGATCCTTCCCTTCTGCTCAGCACTGGCGAGGCCACTCCTGGAGTGCTGGGTCCAGTTCTGGGCTCCCCAGGACATGAGGGACATGGAGCTACTGGAGAGAGGCCAACCAAGGGCCGTGAAGGTGACGAAGGGAGAAAAGCCCAAACTACCCAGGCAGTGGGACAGCACACCCAGCACCAAAGCCTTACAGAGCAAAAGAAATCAGGGAGGCCGCAGGAAAGTGCAAGGAGAAGGGAGTGAAAGAGAGAAACTGCAGTGTGCTGACAGCAGCCTCCTCCTCCCAGTCCTCCTGCACCCACCAGTGGCCAGGGACCTGGGTGACATTGAGGCTGGGAGAGGAAGGGAGGAAAGGTGTTGTGTTAATGTTTGTCTGTCTCACTACCCACGTTTATTTTAACTGATGATAAATTAAATGATTTTTTTCTTAAGTTAAGCCTGTTCTGCCCCAATGGTGTATGGTAAGCAATCACCCCGTCGTTATTGTGAGTGGGGCTCTGTGGGTTGCTGCTGCTGTTGGGATGAAACCACGGCTGGAGGCTCTGTCAGACCCATCATGGGAGCTCCGCACGTGCCCTGCACGCACTCACCTGAGCATCAGTGGAGGCACCCGTCAAGGATCAGCTCCCTGCTGCAGTCCTTGGGGGATGTGTAACTGCCCCTTCGGCCTCGGGCAGGCGTGGGCGAGCCACCAGAAATGCCGGGGAGCCGACGGGCCCCTGACTGACCGAGCTCTCTTGTCCCTGCAGTGTACGTCGTGGAGGAGCGGCGAAGGGACGACTCAGGCGAGAGCGCCTGCCTGACGGCGTGCTGGACCGCGCTCTGCTGCTGCTGCCTCTGGGACATGCTGACCTGACTCTGCCGAAGCCACCTCTCGTACCTCTTACTGAGTGCTATGCAGTCTCCCCACTCCTCTCCCGACTCCTTTCTGTTACTGTAATCAACGCTCTGCTTTGCACAGCCAAGAGTTCCTGTCTGTCAGTCCTAGCGCCTTGTTGGGGTGGGGGGTGCACTCCTTATTTTAGTAAAGGGAAATCCCTTTTTAACATTTCTAAGACTTTTGTTGTAACTTTGAAGAATGTGCTCGTGGTGTATTTCAGCCAAAGGCATTCTGATGAAATGTATATTTATCAGTTGAAATTTTCCTAGTCCTAGAAATGAAGATATATGCAACAATTAAAGCCAACAGTTGATTTTCTTTGCTAGGTCACGATTGTTTCAATAAATCTGTCCTGTAGAGAGTGTGCTTCCCCCATCACTGTCTGTTCTCAGCCTCCTGCCTGCACTGACTGCGGTGCAGCAGTGATGGACCTGGCTTCAAGCAGTTAGGAGGCCTGATCCCACTTGGGTGTTTCCAGCATCATGCTGTAGAGCATCAGCTTGGTAAGGGTAAAGAGATGGGTGACAGTAAATAAAGCCATGGATTAATTTAGTGCTGAAGAGCTGCCTGAGGCAATGGGGTGGGAATCAGGCATGTGGTGCAGAAGTGAGGGCTTCACCAGGGCCCCAGCAAGCCTGGGCAGAGCCTTCCCCAGTGCCAGGCTAGGCCAGCACTGGGCTTGGGCACGAGGGTGAAGCTCAGCCCCAGCTCTGTGCGAGGCCACCCTTGCCACTGGGCTCCCCTGCCCAAACCCAGCCTGCTCCGTGCCCAGGCCCAGCAGATGGACACATGGAGCAGGGCAGACATCACGCACTCACCTCCTGGACTTCTGCTTAGGGCTGTAGGGCTTGGCAGAGCCATCCTGCCCACCAGCAAGCAGCAGCACCATGTTCATTGGGCCCAGCTCCACACGGGCCCAGTGGCAGGCAGGAACCGAAGCAAGGTCCAAGCACCTTGTCTGGGCCCTCCTCCAGGGCTGCTCCTGTGAAACTGCAGCCCCAGCATCCAGGTGTGACACCCAGTGACGTGCATCACAGCTCAGACTACGGAGTCGCTTGCTTGAGGGAGGAACATGTCATAGGATGCAGGGACAAAAGTCATTCAGGCTGGCCCAGGACTTGCTATGGGAGGTTTAGGGGGCAGCAACCAAAAGGCAGCGGTGGAGGTGATTTGGAGCAGCTCCTGACAGCCTGATCCTGCCAGCCGGCTCCAGCACAGGTCAGGAGCTTGACTGCAGCCACACGATGCGAGGGGTGCCCAGAGCCAGCAGCACCCCGTGTCTGTCGGGGTGCGAGGAAAGCAGGATTCCCCGGGGACACCCACCCCGAGCCCTATTACCACCTACTGTAAACTCCAGCAGGGGAGGCAGCAGCTGCACAACACAGAGGCAGAGAGAAGGAGCTAACACAGGCTGTGGGGTAGAGTTTATTAACACTGCCAAGTAGCAGCTGTCACGTAGACCCGCAGTGGTGAGCGGCACCGGCGGAGCTGCCCAGCATCACCCAGAGGGTGCCGCAGGCCTGTCGGGAACCACGCAGCTACTGCGCCCTCCGGGCCATCAGCATCTCTCTGATGTTATCTTCTGCTTCCTTCACGCTTCGTTCCAGGTACGACTTCTTCTGCTGCAAGGCAGAAACCCAGAGGGGAGTTAATGTCCAGCCTGGCACCAGCAGCACAGGGAAGCGATCAGGGCAGAGCCCCCAGCAGCCTGCTGAGGGCGCACACAACACGGCGTGCTGCCCCGAAAGCGAGAGCCGTTTTCATTTCCAGAGGCATCCTGGAAGTGTTAATATTGAATCTTTCTTGCCTGGGCAATGTTTACACAGAGTTTGAATTCTGCTCCCTCTGAGACCTCCTCCTCAGAGCTGTGGGATTATTTCAACAACAGAGCTGCACAAAGTGTCTGACATCAAATGTAGCAGCGAAGAAAAGGAAATCACACCCCGTAAAGTTTGGAGCCCAGAGATAAATTAATATGCTGGAGCCTGCTTATGCTATCAGCAACCCGCACCAGAACCCTTTCACACTCAGGTTAAAAAAGGCTCTTTTTTCCCAGCTGGGTGTTTTCAGAAACCAGACCCTCTTTTCTATCTGCCGCATGTTCAGAAATTCCCTGCCATCATCACAAAATGTGTTTCTTTAATCATCTTTAATTAGTCCAGGCTTGGCAGGGAAGCAGACCAAAGCTGTGCATCCCAAGATAGGAATTCACCATGCAGCATTTTTTCCTGCTCGTCTGGGTTCTCCTAGGTGACTGGAAAAATCTGCAACTGGCTCCCTTGACTATTTTCTCTGGGTTTCCAAACAACAGACACAACAGTCTCCCACGGATGCCAGGCCCTCAGAAAGAAGGCCTGTCCATGTGCTGCCGGACTTTGCTGCTGTGTGCCAGGAAATCGCCACTCCAGTGCTTGCTGATGGGCTGGGGGAAGCCCGGGGCAGGCTCCCCGGTGGTGGGCTCATGGAGGGGTCACCCAGCAGCTTTTGGGCTGCACAACCACCTGCCGAGGCTCACACAGGGCTCCGCAGCCTGTAGCTGCCTGCAAACAGGGCGTGCAGGTGCAGGGCTCGCTGCCCCCATCCTCGCCTCCACAAAGCCCAGCGGGGATCACTGCGATGAGATGCTCCCAGCACAGCTCTCCCCGGGGTGGTGGCAGCCCCAGCCTAAGCAAATGCTCCTTCACACCTGGTACATCCCCGTCCTGGGGCTGAGCAAGGTGAAAATAACCATGGGCAGGATTATTTTCACATTACAGAGCCTCAGCCTTGAGCATCCTGTCACAGGCTCCACCGAACCACCTCTAAACACGTGCAGAGGAACCCGGTGTGATATGAATGATCCCTCCCAATCCCAACAAAGCTCATCCAAGTGATGAGAGGAGGGGAAACGGCCTCAAGTTGCACCTGGGAGGTTTGGGTTCGGTATTAGGAGAAACTCCTTTACTCAAAGTGTTTTGTGTCACTGGCAGGGGCTGCTCAGGGAAGCGGTTGAGTCAGCAGCCCTGGAGGTCTTCAAGAAACGTGGAGATGTAGGACTTGGTGGCATGGCTCAGTGGTGGACTTGTCAGTACTGGGTTAAAGGTTGGACCAGATGATCTCAGAGCTCTTTCCCAATCTGAATGATTCTCTGAAAGCCGAGAACAGCTACAGGGGACATGGGAGGTCCTCAGCACTGCCCAGCCACGCATGGGAAACTGCAGAGGGGAAGAACAAAAGGGCTAAAACGCTGCTCCGGGGTGCTCACCCCCAGCCACTGCCTTGCTGAAGCAGAGCAGCACCCTGCCGCTCAGGGGTGGTGTGGAAACGGCACACATGGCCACCAAAAGCACACGCTGAGCAGCACCCTCCTGATGGCTGTGGGCAAAGGGAGGGAGTTGGGTGTGAGCCCCATTTTTGCCAGCTTGCAAAAAATGCCAAAGTCAATGCTCCCCTGGCAGCTTCCTGAATGCTTCTTGCACAAACACAGAGCTGGGATGCAGAATGCAGAAGGGAAACCCACAAGCACGTGATAGGGCCCTGCTGCCGTCACTCTGCATCCATCCCCTCACAGCTGACCCTACAGCGACACCTCCGTGCACCTGACAAATTCCCACGCTGCGAGGACACCCCTCCCAGTCCCCTTTCCAACTACTGAAGGACTTTTATTTAAATAGCAAAGGTTGTTAACAAAAGCCAAGGCCATGGCCATGGTTCATCTTTCTTGCCCACAGCCCCCTGACACCCGGGATCCCTGGTGCTTTTCGGAGCTGCTTTTCAGGAAACTGGTGGAGAGGAAGCACCCTGTGGGTTACCACTGCTAATGACTTCCCAGCACGGCGCTGACACCCTGGCAGGGCAGGACTTCTGTGTTCTCCTGCTGCTCCTGGAAGACGTGGATGGATTTCACATCTGGGGAACTGAATGTGAAGGCTGGGAGGGGAGAGAGGTCAGAGAGAAGCTGAATGGGTCTGCGCTGAGAGGAAGCTCCCAGAGTTGCAGCCTCCTGACTCTGCTGGCTATAGGAGGAGAGCAGCTCCAGCACAGCCAATTTCTATGCATTCAAAACATTTTTTTATATTATTCTACAAAACAGACCCTTTATCCACTCCATTCTCCACCTATGCCCACCAGGAAAGAGACATTTGAAGAGATCCCTCTGCTGGCAGCCTGGCTCCTGCAGACAGCCCAGGGCTGGCCACGAGGCAGCATCCGCACACAGACAGGACCTGAGAGGCTTCAAATAATGGTTTGGGGATCCTGACACAGGGGGACTGCAAACATCCACGGCTAGGGAACTGCGCTGGAGAGTCTTTGAGCTCCACCTCCCCATGTACGAGTGGTTTGAGTATCAATCCGGCCCAACACACTGCAGAAGTGCCCATGGGTGCCATGGGGAACGTACACGGACCTACATCACACGCTCCTGTGCTTGTTGTGTTTTGCCCTCACCACTTGTGGGGTGAAATGGGGGAGCAGGGGTGTTAGAGCTACACGGGGCATGGCAAGGGGACACTTTATTGGGTAAGCATCACCTGCAGGCACGGGCTGGGCAGGATTTTGGAAATTTGCATTTTCCCTCAATCCCTCTCCTTGGTTACGCAGTTTCTAGCAGAAAATGATGGGGAAAGAGGATCTGCACCGGTCCTGATGCTTTTACTCCTTTCTCCCAAAAGCAGTCTCCAGGCAGACTCATCCCTTCAGAGGCCATGGCACCAAACCTCTTCGAGCTGGGGCCAGCTGAGAGGGAGCAGCGCAGGGCAAAGCAGAGCAGGCTGAGCAGCCACACCAGGGACAAGGAAACGAGGAGGGAGCTGGGGGAAGAGGGCTGTGGGGAGCACAGGCAGCACCGAACCTGCACCCCCCAGCACAGCCCCTTCCATCCCATCAGTGCTCAGGGAGATCCTGCTGCTGGGGCAGGCAAGGGAAATGCTGCACCCACAGTTCGGAGCCTGAAAACTTTCTGAGCTGTTCTCCAGGCCGGCAGCGTGCAGCGCCAGAGCCAGCACAGCAGCTGGCTCTCACCTGGACCAACGGCCCACGTAAAGGAGGGCGAGGGGCAGACTATCACGGTATTTTCCTATGTGTGTGGCAGGAGCAAGGTGTTCCTTCCTGAGAAGCTGCAGCCCGGTTTCTGCTTAGGTAATCACAGGAGAAAGAGCAGGAACTTACATGCAAAACTCTCCTCGCCACAATTACTGGGGTCTAGACAGGAAACTCGGTGTCTATCTGATCCTCCTTCCCGGGGAGCAGCTCTGTGAGCAAGCCCAGCTGACACATATTCTGCCTCGTCACACCAGCGCTGAGAAAACCAAGTAATGGGTCTGGCAGCGCCGCTCTGAAGTCATCCTTGAGGCTGTTCCAGTCCTGCCAGATCCGCTGGGCTGGCAGTAACTGCTGGCTGCACAAGAAACACCATCTGCAGCCTCCCAAAACCCCACATCCAAGACTCTCCGAACTCGATGCTGACCTGCAGCCCCAAGGCATCTGACCCAAAGCGCTGGGCCAGCCCACGGCTGCGAGGCTGGAGCTCCTCAGGGGATGAGCTGTGTGTATTTTCCTGTGGAGGAGCTTTTAGCGCTCCAAGCAGGAATCCGCTGCTGCGTCTGCCAAGGCAAGTGCAGTTAGAAGCACATTTCCAGTGCGATGCCAGAACTGTGCTGCTAATTTGGGTCCCGAACGAAATCGAAGGCTGCTGAGACTCCTTCCCCAGCACATCAACCCCGGTGCTCACCAGTTAGAGCCTGACTTGGCCCCGGCAGCACACTGGCCCCGCATGGTGTATGCACGGAAAGCTGCTGACTTGGGAAGCTTCGGAGCATGCACACTGCAGGTTCAGAGCTCTTATCTGCACCCACACCGTCAGAGCCAGAAACTGCCTCCTAGCACAAGAAGAACACCAGCCTGCCAGCCTACAAGCTCCAGTGCGCCTTTGGCGAGACCAAGTGGTTACCCAAAGCAGAAAGGCACACGGCTGCCTGAGTCATGGAGCCTCAGGGAGGGATTGAGGAAGGAGACTTGCTTTAGAAAGCCAGTAGGTGAAGGTGACACCATTCTGCTCTCAGGAAAGCCTACAGCCACGGCCTGCAAAAACCACCACTGCTCTCTGCAGTGAAGCCGGGCAGTCCAGCGAGGTGCTGGCATCTCACCAGCAGTTACAAGAAAAGCACTAAGGACGAAATACAGGGGGCATGGCAGAAAGATGTGAATTTGCCAGTTCTGGTTCACACCTGTCTTGGGTTTAAGCCAGGTTGGATGGGGCTTTGAGCAACCTGGTCTAGTGGGAGCCAGTTCCAGCCCCCAGACCCCATGGCAGGGGGCTGGAACTGGATGAGCTTTAAGGTCCCTTCCAACCCAAACCATTCTGTGATTCTACATTCACTGAAAAATACACTTCTTGGGTGCTACTGAAGAGGCACAGCTTCTGGAGCCCCCTCTGCCTTGCTGAAGCACGCAGCAAGCCCTCCCCGCTCAGCACGCAACGCACACAGCACCAAAAGCCCCTGGGGTTCCTGCACCCACTATTTGGGGTGACAACCTCTCGACCCCCCTCCTCTGCTGCTTCCCCACCCAGGAAGGGGGCTGCCACCTACCCTGGGACACCTGGCGCAGACACCCTGCTACAGGTTAGCAAGGTCTAGGCTGC